CCAGTATTGGACAGTTGAGCAGATTTTCCAATGGGAACATGAGAACAGGAGTATAGGCCATTGAAGGGAATGGCTCCGCAACCATTATTATCCCCATGAACAAATTTTCATCCCATACTTCTAGTAATGGGCAGAATGACATCTCTTCCTGCCAGAGTCCAAAATCACTTTTCCTGATTCTCAGTGTGGCTTAGGATAAATTCCCACAACATTAGACTCATGCTCCTTTTCCCCTTCAACAAAAAACCACATTGTACTGAGTGATGAGCTCTTAGGCAGCTTCACGTGTATGCTCAACACCTTCAGCTGATGGCAGTAGACTAAAGCTTGGCAAACTGTGGCCCCAGGGTCAAATCTGACCCTCCACCAGTTTTTTGTAAATAAAGTTTTACTGGAACACAGTCATGTCCATCTGTTTAAGTATTGTCTTTGGCTACTATCACACTACTATAGCAGATCTGAGTAGTTTCAACACACAGCATATGGCCTGCAAAGCCTAAAACAGGTATTGGGCCCTTGCAAAAAAAGTTTGTCAACCCCTAACATAGAAAAGCACCTTAGTCAATATTTATGCCACTAGGCTTAAAAACGGGTAGGTAGCCAGAGTTTCTAAACCAGCTATAAGAAAATGAAAGCAAATTAATGTTTTACTGAAATCGCATTATGAACAAATTGAGAAGAAAGCCAGTGTAGCTTAGAAAGAAATAGATAATAGATTGCTTTCATACGCTTTTTTCCTGAATGCAAATGCATATAAATTCAAGCTGTTTGAAACGACTGTTTCTAAGAGGCCCTGCCTTCTCGGTTTGATCTTGCTGAAGTCCGAAAACCACAGTTGAGCTGCTTGCATTTGTAAGGCCTGCCCTGCAACGTGTTGTGAAAGTCCAGGGAGAAGTGTGCAAACACCTGCAATGTGATGCAGATGGTTCTGGGCAAGGCATGGGTCTGGTTGAATCAGAGAAAGAATCCAAGATGGGATCAAAAAGTAATCAACACTGTCCAGCTCTCAGCAGGTGGGGGTACTTGTCAATCTCTTGTTAGACATATTCCTCCCATCTCATTAATAAGATTTAATGCCTTAGCAAACCCTTTGTAAAGAAGAAAAGGAACATCATACTATTACGGCTTATAAAATTATATTGTATGAACAAACATTGCTACAGCCTTCTCCCAAAAAACTGTCTTGTGTTGGTTGGTTGTTTGGGCTCTTTTGTTTGTGTTGTTATTATTGCTTTGAGGATTTTGTTGTTGTTTTTAACTCAGTAAAGCAGTCTGGAAAATTGGCAAGCTTTCATTCAGCTGGTCCAAACCTAACTTCAGTATTCACTTAACCACATTGCCTACCAACTGTCCAAAGTATTTTATTATAATTATTCTATGAATGCATCATTAGACTCCTTAATTGATACTCTCAGAAGTCCATTTGTTAGGAAGGGACCCCCGTCTCTGGACCTTTTGCATTTTCTCAGTAACAGTAATATACTTTTTGCAGGGGATTGAATGTCTTTGGCATAAAAAAAAAAAAAATGCTGCTGGTTGGACCTGGGTGATAGGTAAATGAGGGGGTAGGGAGTCACCTTATTATTCTCTTTCTGTGTATGTGTTTGAAAATGTTCATAATGAGGGGTGCCTGGCTGGCTCAGTCAGTGGAGTGTGTGACTCTTAATCTTGGGGTTGTGAGTTAGAGCCCCACATTGGGCATGGAGATTACTTAAAAATAAAATCTTTTTTTAAAAAAGTTCATGTCCATCGACAGATGACTGGATAAAGAAGA